ACTGGTCTCCATCCGAATCCCTAAGCTCTGACCGTGTAACTCCCTGCCCTCCCCTCAGCCTCTGCACCGACTACCCCGGCTCAGCCCCAGGTCGGGGATCCTCTGTAGGGTCCCACCCCATTCCCAACCAAAGTGGAGACATCCATGCATCCACCTGCTGGGTCGTTCTACAGCTCCTGGTTTGTAGGGAAGATGGCCATCATCCATACCAAAGCTTCTACCCTGAGGCAGAAAGTGGTTCCGGACTAGAGGGAGGCTTAGGTCCTCAGCTCCCCCAGGGGAAACCACCTCAGGAGGTGGGAGGCCAAATTCTGTCAGTATTTTCAGTTCCAAGGTTTTGTGTTGGAGCTGTCTTCCCCTCTCGCCCTCCTTACAGCCACCCCTTCAGGCCTTTCTTAGCCCTGCTCCACACTCTGAAGTCTCTAGAATCATCTTTCAACATCCTTTCAATAAAACCCTTTGGAGCAACTCAGGTGCTTTTGAAAATACCAATGCCCCTGCCCACCCCAGAACTCCCGGATCAGAATCCTGAGGGTAGGGCTAGGTCCCTACCAGATGTTAAACCTCCACCAGGAGATTCGCTGCTGTAGTTGGGAAAACACTTGTCTTGCCTATGTTCTTCCAGAGACCATGGTCCTCAGAGAGAGCACAGCTAGAGCCCCACTTTCGATCCAGTGAGATTTGGAGGGCTCCTAAAGAAGGTGCTACATGTCACTCTGGGGGGCTGCTGAACAGATCAGACCAGATGTGAGGAAGGCTGTTAAATAATGTTGTAGGGTGGCCATGGGGAAGGAGACAAAGAGGCAGTTTTTGCATGGTTTTTACTTTTTGTATAAATTTGTGCGTTTTCTTCTGAAAGGCCAAACTCCAGAAAGGGAAATTACCAAGGTTTAAGAGATCTCCTTTACACAAAAATTCTTCTGCTAGGCAACTTGGTGGTCTCCCTGCTCCTGGGAGGCCACCATATTGACACCACTCAAACCCCCATCTCTTAAATAAATAAGTAAATAAATAAATTCTGTGTCTTGCAGTTTAGCAAGTTTGCTTTTTCCTGCCCCTCCTCTAGCTTTCAGACAACAGGGCAGAGGAGGTATGTTGGTTGAAATCAGTTAAGTTGAATGTTCTAAACTGTGTTCATTCATTCCTTCACACATGCCGGCCTTCGTGAAATCTATGCTGCCTAAATACCCACCCACTCAGTGTCAACCACAGGTCAGGACACAGAAGCAAATGGGATAGGGCTCACGCCTTCTTTCCGGAGCCCACAGTGGGGGATGAGCAGAGGCAATGGGGAGCAGATGGGATGGAAGGATGTCAGAACACTTCAGAGAAACGGTTGTGGCGTTTAGAGGAGGCTCCACTTTGTAAGAGTGTGGAGCAGGGCTAAGAAAGGCCTGAAGGGGTGGCTGTAAGGAGGGCAAGAGGGGAAGACGTTCGCAGATTGGCTGATGGGAGAACCCCGCTCCTGCCCTCTATCCTCGAGGTTCAGAGAGGTGCAGTGCTCGCGATCACCACCAGGGGTCAGCGCACTGCCCTACTCCGCAGAGCTACGTCGCTGGGCTATTGTACTCTAGCCAGGAGCCCTCCGTGGTCTCTCTGCCCTGGTTACAGCCCGTGTTCTTTCTCTCTCACGTCCCTGAGCCCATCACCTTAAGGTCATTTCATCCGTCACTGCAGAACCAGGAAACATCCCAACCAGACAACCTGACGTCTCTCTTGACCTGGGGAATCCCACAGCCTCCCTCATTTCCCCAGTTTTGTGGGTGTCTGGCTGGTGGGCAGAAAGTGCCGCCTGCTGTCTCACCTCTTCTTCTTCTGCCAGCAGCTCCAGCTCTCTGGTTTGGTCTCTAGGGTATATGGGAGTGTCCATGGGTTCACTCCGTCAGACAGATTTTCTCACATGTGCCAGTAATGCTCTCTAAGACAAGCCCTTACTGTGTGGCCCAAACCAAGTCCCGAGAGCCTTCCCCTCTCCCCTGCTCTGAGGGGATGTTATCTCTGCACTCCAGGACAGCATCCACACGCACTGACCTCTGATCTCTCTGGATCATGCCCTCCTCCTTTGCTCTCTCGCAGAACTCTGATGCTGCTCTTTCACAGTACCCCTCCCCACACTCCCACCTTTTCTCCCACAGGTGAGTCCCACAGCCTTGCAGACTCAATAGATTCCTCTCCAACTCTTTGACCTTGTCCTCACACCCATTCCTCCTTCCTCTGGTCTATGGGGATCTCAGACCAGAACCCCATCTGTGGGGCCATGTCCTTATCCCATCACACACAAGACCTGGAGTGGAGTTTATTCTCCTCCCCTGGAATTGGTGGGGACCCCTTCTGTCCTGGCCTGGGGGAAGGAACTCCTCAGAGTCCCCTGAGGCTTTGAGAGGAGCAGCAGGCTGGTGGGAGGCAACAGAGGGGAGGCAGGGTAGAGGGAATACCGACCACACAATATTCTAAGTCTCTGCTCCTCTTCCCATCCACCCCCACCCCCTCCGCCAAACACGATCCCTGGGTTAATTTTTAGCATTGCAGCTCGCACATTAGTCACTCCCTGTCACCCACCTACACGGCAGGAGGCTGCTGTGCTGGTGCCGTCATCTCATCAGCTGAGAGGTGGGATCCAGCCCCACCCTGGGTAACCCTCCCCCTGGGTGCACCAGGCCAGCCAGGAGCCCCCATCGAGGGAGCATTGACATCACCCCCAAGACTAGCTGCATGGCAGCGGGTGGGGCAGACTAGTGGGAGAAGGTTTGGAAATCTCCTCTGGGACCAAAAATCCAGGAAAACCCCACCCTTACCCAGTAAGGTGCTAGTCTATGCCCAAGCATTTGGTCTCCTGGCAGCCCTGGTCTCTGAGAACAAAGGTGTGAGGGCCCCTCCCCCAGATCTGAGCCCCTGGGAGCTGCTGTTTGTCATCGCTGCATAGCAGCTGTTCAAACAGGGAGCTCAGGGAAGCTCCATTTTCTTAATCAAATATCCTCCCTTCCCAGGACTGGGGTGGAGGGGTGTGCAGGGCAGCCAGGTGCAGGTGCCCTGGAGCCACCCTCTAGTCCCAAAGGGATTTTGTGAGAAGGGCCCACAGCTGCTGGCTACAGATGGAGCAGAGGAGGGGCTGAGGTGGAAGGCGGCAGTTACTCCTATGCGGGCAGCCCCAAGGAGGCATGGCTCATTCAGCATGTTTCTTGAACTCTTCCTGCCTGCCAGGCTCTGTATTATACCCTGAGGTGCAACTTTAAAGAAGGCTGGGAGGTTGGTTCCTGTCCTCACAAAGGCAGGAGATAGAATCAAGAGTTGCCAACATAATTACCCATTGGAAGATGTCAAAAAGAAAAAAATAGGGATCTCTAGGTAAAGAATAATGGGGACAGAGAACTACTCCAGATCAGATCAGGGGAAGCTCTCTGAGAAGGTGATGATGGAGTAATCAGTCTTGCAGAGAATACTCCAGGCAAAGAGAAGAGCACTGTCAAAGGCCAGAGGCAGAAAGGGGCTTGGCTTAATAGGAACAGAAAGAATAGTATGGTTTAGATATAATAAGTGACATGGAAAGAGAAACAACTTGAGATTACAGAGAGAGGCAGGGACCAGGTCCCAGAGGGTCTCATGCAGGGCATTCCAATATAGTTGCAGAGGCTGGGTACTGCACAAAGGCTGGCTCCCAGGTCCTAAACTGTGGGGCCTTTGTGTCTACTGTCAACTCAAGAGAAAGGGATGCTTTTTTTGTGATTTGTCGCCCCAAGAGACAATGTGTTAAGGACAGGCCCATAGTAAAGAGTTTGGACTTTATTCTTTTATCCCAGGAGAAACCATAATGAGTTTAAACAGAGGAGGGTTGTGATCAATTTTTCCTTTTGAAAGCTCTGCTCTGACTTCTGTGTAGAAAACGGATGGTCTGGGGGAAAGAGAGGAAATAGGGAGTCCACCCCGGAGGCAAGTACAGTGGTACAGGAAGGATGGCGGTGGAGAGGTGGCATATCTGGGAGGGGGCCCACTTAGATTTCGCTTAAGCCACCCAGTATATGTTGGTAGAGCACTAGAACATGAGTCTCAATCCCAGGGCCACCTATCCCAGTAGCTTGCTTATGATCCCAGATAGCTCACATGCCCTAGGTCACCTCAAAGGTGGTGACCATGTCTTGGATATGACTCAGCACACACTCTATAGAGGGTCTACTACATGCTAGTATCAGGCAAGAAGGAAGCAGTGACTAAGCAAAAAAGGTCCCTGTGTCCTGCTGCAAGGAGCATGCATCCTAAGGGGTGGGGAGAGCAAGCAAAAATCAGGATCTGTAAGAGTCAAGACAATTTCAGATGATGGTATGTACTATAATGGAACTAAAACCGGGTAGGAAGGCCTCTGGGAGGCAGAGCTGAGGACTGAAGGAGCCGCCTGAGGGAAAAGCAAATGCAGGAACTCTGATGGGGGGGGTGGAGAGTGGGGGGGTCCTGAGGTGTACCAGGTACAGCAGTAGCAGCTGCACAAGGGCAAGGGGGCCCCAGCAGGTCAGAAACCAGTGCACTGGAGTTAGATCTCATTCTAGGAGTATTGGAAACTAGTGAATTATAGAATAGAGCAGTGAAGTGAGCAGTGATGGGGTCCTGTCACAGGTAGGATGGATGATGGCTAAAGTTGTCAGTAGATCTGTCTTCTGCCCCTCAGGGGGGACCTCAGATTGATAACAAAGGGACACAGGGCATACTTATTTCCACAGGGATAGTTAAGGACTTTAGATAAGCCTTGGCCACCACCTGCTATAGGTATCTGGGGAGGGAAGCTCAAGACATATCTAAACAAGAGGCCCAAGTTCTGAGGAGGGGTGTGGCGCCTCTAGTTCAGGCCCATACATGTCAGTTGAAACCTCCCATGCTATTTCCCGGACTTTAGGCTACAAGAAAATGAGATATAAGACATAGTGAGTGTGTGTTTGGGGGTGCTGCATGGTGGAGCCAGAGCTTTCCTGAGCCCAATCCTCCCCCTCAGGTAGTCACCACACTGACACAGATGCAAAATACCGTCAATTTTATACACTTTGTGGTTCAGAAGCGACAATATGCAAAATGGTGGAACAGTCTGTGCTGCCCCGACCCCACCTGAATATGCTGGCTCCTGTTCCCCAAGGGGCACAGAACTCAAGACCCCTGTCCTAGGACCCCATTAGTTTTATAGGCCCCTAGGAGGGTCCAAGCCCTTAGTGGCCAAGGCCAGGAGGGAGAGGGCCAGCACCTATGCCCCTGGGGCCCACTGGTCCACTGGGACTGTGTGTGTGGAGGGTAGGGAATGACCCACCATCGGCCATTTCTCCCCAAGGCTAAGGGCAGGGGGAGCAGGTAAAGCTGAGGAGAGGGCTTCATGGGACAGGGTCCCCCACTCCAGGGTGGGGGACTGTTCCTGGATACCCCACAAGGCACTACTGACCCCGACTGTACAATAACACACCCTATCTTTGGCCCCCAAACCTCTCTCAACCCCAAAGTTCTCCCTCTGCCCCGGCTCCCACTATGGTTTAGGGGAGGAAAAGAGAAGGGGTCTGGGGCCCCCATTCCCTCAGTGAGACAAGCCAGGAACCACTCAAGCCCGCCAGGGCTCACTAGGACCCTCTCCCGCTGCTCTGGACTCCTGGGGTCCTCCTGGCCCAGCACCCCCACTTTGCACTTGCTGTTACTTGGAATAAATAAATAAATACTTCCCCTGCCCACCCTGGCCCTACAGCTGGCTCTCCTCCTCCTCTAGGGAGCGATTGAGTCCAGGGATGAACTTGAGCAGCCGCCGGCGGAAGCTGCGATACTTGGTTTTGCGCAGGCCACACAGGGCCTGCTCTCGGGCCTCAGTCCAGAGTGTGCCTCCGCCGCCCCCGGGGCCTGCACAGCGCACACTGGCGCTGCGGCTCAGCGTGGCCCGCGACCCAGGGCACAACCCAGGATCCGGGGCCAGGGCAGTGCCCCCCAGGGTGCGGGTCGGGGGCGGCGGGGGTGGCAAAACCGGTGGCTCAGAGTCCCCAAAGAAGCATGTGTGGTAGACAGCGTCATCAGTGGCATCGCCCCCAGCCCGCCGGGCACACCCACGGGGACCCCCAGGCACAGCAAGCAGAGGCCCGAATGGCAGCGAGCCAGGGAGCAGGCCCGCACCATAGAGGCAGGAGCGCACCGACTCCAGGGTGTCATAGATGCTGGGATCCTTCACCACGAGGCCTGAAAGTGTGCAGGGAGAGCCATCAGGCCCAGGGCATAAGTGTCCTCTACAAAGGCATGAGTGCAGGATCAGAGTGCCTTCCCAGCAACCCTATGTGTCCCTGACAAGTAGCAAACCTGAGCCCCTATCCCCTGGTCTGCCAAACAGGAATCACAACTAAGAACCTTGGGAGGAGACTACTTAGGACACAAGAGCCTCAGAAAGGATGGAAACAAGTTCCTGAGCCCCAGTGTTCCCATCTGTAAAATGGAGCTGATATTACCTAGTGTCTAGATGAGTGTATCTAGTGCTTACTGGCAGAGGGCTATTGTAACCATAACTAACAATGTGTGTGTAGCAGCCCAGGAGAGGACTGTATCCAGAGTAGTAGCTCAACAAACCTTTCTTCACTTTGGAGATGGGACTAACCCACTAGCTCTGAGGGGGAAGCACAGGTAGGAGAGAACATGGCCAGTGGCATCCCCAGTCTACTCACCATGCACCAGCCGCTGCTCCTGCACCATTAGGGACCTGTATTCTCCCCACTTCTCATACAGGGTTTGCTGCAAGAGACAGCCACACCCCACTGTCAGGAGCTACCAAGAGGCTAGCAGGATGTGGGCAGAGTGAGGGATCAGGGAACAGGCAGAAGAAACCTTAAGGTTGAAGAAGGCACAGATACAAATAGTCTCCTAAAAAAGAGTAAGATCTGAAGGGCAGCGGCTTGGGAAGAGGAGGGTGGAGACGGGACTTCCTGGGCCCCCTTACCTTCAGGTACTGCAGGCGAGCCTCCAATTCTGCCTTCCGAATTGATGTCCCATACAGAGTTTCTAGTCTGAGGAGGTTGGAGAATCAAAGGCTGAGTGAGCCCACAGGCTGAGGAAACACCAAGAGGCTGAGCTCAGGAACCCTCAGGTACCACAGCACCTAGACGTACCTGAGAACATTGCCAGATGCCTTAATGATGTCAACAATCTCTCGATGTCGGATGCCTTCCACATTCAGGCCATTGACACTGGCGATTGTGTCCCCTGGCAGGCAGAGAGGGGTTCAGCATCTGCCATATGGGGCATGATGGAAGAACCCCAGCCCCCTACCTTAGCCAGAAAGGAGAAGGGTAGCAAGCCCCACGAATACTCCTGAACTCCCTGACTCCTCAGTTTCTGGGGACACCTCCTCTGATATCCCTCTTGCCCCATCAAAAACACAAACACGCTATCAGAACTACACCACTCTTCCCTGCCTGCAGTGATTACCAGCTTGTCCTGGGCTGGCACCCCAGCAGAGAGGCCAAGGAGCTCAGAGGGACTGGGCCCTCATCCACTCACACCCAGACCTTACCCTCATGAAGCTGTCTTCAAAGGTTGTACACTCCCAGGCCCCTGTGCTGCCCCCAGAGTTGATTATTTCTGTCCATCCCACACCTGTCATGAGACTCAGTCAAGACAGAAAGGGGGTGAGAAGCATCTGCCTGGGAACCAAGCCTGGGCTCAGGCATGAGGCCTCAGCTTCTGATTCCCTGTGCCACTGTGGAGCCTCCTGACCTCAGGCAGGGCATGCCACTGTCTCAGAGGGCTCCTTTCCCATTTATGAAATAGCATGGATCCCTGCTGTGGCTACCTCAGGGTCAATAGGGAGAGAGAGCACGAAACTCTTTGCAATGTTGTGATATACCCCTTGGCTACTGCTATGGCTTGAATATGGTCTGTCCCTACCAAAACTCAGGTTGAGGCTTCATCCGTAGTATAACCATGTTGAAAGGCGGTAGGACCTTTGAGAGGCCTTTGGGTCCTAAGCGATTTGCCCTTAGGATTAATGCTGTTTGCTGGGAGTGAGTTCTCACTCTGCCAGAATAATTAGATGCCTCAAGAGCAGGTCATTATAAAGTGAGCTCACTGCTCTGTTTTGTGTCTTTAGCGTTTACTTGCCATTCTTGTGGGTGCACCTGCCATGAAATGCTGCCCAACCTTGAATTTCCCATTCTCCAGGACTGTGAACTAAATAAACTTCTTTCCTTTATAAATTACCCAGAAAACAAACTAAGACAGCTACCAAAGGCTGTTTTGTAAGTGGCAAGGGTCTAAAGGTTTAGGAGCAAAAACTATGATAGAATTGAGGGGAGAGCAATGATACATGCAGTGTCCCTTCCCCTTCCTGTAACCTGGAGACTCTAGATTTGCTCGATCCTAGGGCTCCCCTACTGAGGCATCACTGCCTTATAAGAAGTAACATAGGTCCCCCAGAGTAGGCAAGGTGGAAGGCTGCATAGGCCTGACACTTAGAATCAAACAGATCTAGTGGAATATGGCTTCTTTCTCAGCTCCTGAGTAGGCTGATTGCCAGATTGCCAAGAGGGAGCAAAACAGTAGCACAGCAATATCCTCTGCTTGCCAGGCCCCAATGCTGTGTCCAGGGAAATCCGCATATATTATTACCCCCATTTTGCAGATGGGGCTGTGGAGGATCACACAGTAAATGGTAAAGTTACTGGATCCATTCTTTCTTCTGGATTTCTCAAACTAAGAGGAGGAAGGAGAATTGATTGCAGGAGAGATTTTTCACTCCTTCTGTTTGGGAGTAAGGTCATGGCCATTTCCCAGACCCCTGTGTTCTAGGTGCAGGCCCCACCTGGTGTAAGCCCTGCCAGCTGGGCAGGGCTGGACTCGTGAACCCGGCAGACAAAGGTCACCATCTCCACTCGCTGCTCTTCCCGGTGGTGAAGGCCATAGGTCTGTAACAAACAAGGACACCTTCAGCCGGGGAGCAGGATGGGTCTATCCATCCTCAGACTGGCCTTCCAACCCTTCATCCCTCTGGGCACAGCTTCTCCCACCTGAATCTCAAAGCCGAAGGTCTGGTTATCCTCCTTCTCCAAGGTCAGCACTTTCCTGCAGGACACACAGGGTCAAGACTATCAGGACTGAAAGGAGTGTGGCATTCTTATGGTTTGTACCTACCAGGAGGTCAAAGTCTAGTCTAAAATATTCCAGCAGGACTCATGGTTTCCAGTGACAACTCACTCTCATCACAGATTATGGGAATGTCTTTCCCATACCCAACTGCAGTCGCCCTCATGGAGCTATACAGAATCAGCCCAGCCTCTGCTGCGGGAGGGAGGCCCTGGGCCTGGCTAGCCCCCAGAGGGGATGGGCTGAGTTCTTCAGAAACACCAGCCCCAGAGTACCACTTACTGGCGAGCTGAGGCCCCAAATTCAGCCCCAGCCTGGCGCCTCCTCTGCTCTACAGCACTGGGGAAAGGCCTGATCCCTCCCCCTGAGGCCAGTCACGAGGCTCAGCCAGGCCACAGCTGCTCCTCCCAGTTGCGGTAGGGCCAGCCCACCAGATGTGAGGCTGGGGGGAGGGGAGGGGAGACTGGAGGCCGCCCCTTCCCGCACTGAAGGCCTGCCCACTGGATACAATGGTCTGGAGCTACTCCAGACCCTGGCCTGCTGGGGGAGTCCAGAGTTTCCTCTGCCCACTCCCACCCCCTTCCTTCCCGCCCAGCCAGAGTCAGAGCTCAAGCAGCCTCCAAAGGCCCCTTCAAGTCTCATAGCCTGAGACAGGCCCAGGAGACCAGGCGCCTCAGCTCCCAGCCTGACCCAGATATTCCCCCCAGATGCTGAGCAGCACCTCCCAGCTCCAACCTGAGCTCTTCTGCTCTCTTTGAACAGCAGGCCTTTCCCCCTCTGTGGCACTGGAAAAGGGAGCAGGGTGACCAGCAGTCCCACATCTATCCCGGTGTTCTTGGGTTCAGCAAAGGGCCAGATAAATATTTTAGGCTTTTTTTGTAGGCCCCATATAGCTGCTGTCATATGCTGCTTTTGTTTTTATTTTTTGCAAGCCCTTTTAAAAACATAGAAATGATTATTAGCTCAAGGGCCAAACAGGCCAATCTGGCCAGCTGGCGTGGTTTGCTGATCCATTTCAGAGGAAGCCAAGACTAAATCAAGGAGAGATAATGGGTGGAGAAGGGCAACTATGGGGTTCCAGGTCATGGAGTCAGCACCTACTTCTTCCCACAATTTCACTCCCTCCTGAGAGGGCTGCCACGGGGTGGGGAGGGGCGCAGAATGGGACTGAGATTTTGGAGGCAGAGGCAGTCAGATCTAAGCAGCTGGACATAACTTGGTGAGAGACTGGGCCAAGGGCCTTGCAGGAGAGTCCAGAAGGCCTAGTTAGGACATCCCCACAAACTTCGCCTACTTCCCTCACCTCCCAGTTCTGATGATCCAGATCTCCCCAGGGAGGGGTAACTAGCAGGGGCTGGGGGTGGGATGAAGAGTACCTAATGACTCAAAAGTCCCCACCTCCTTTCTCTGCCACCTCTTCACACAGCCCACACCCCCACCTGCCCCTCTCTCCCAGCAGGGGAGCCATAGTTAAAAGGTAGAGAATGACTCCCACTACATCCAGCAGGGCTGAGATGCTGTCTGCTCCCCCCACCCTAGCACCTCACCCTTTTGGACCCTTTTGGCAGGGGCTGGGTGGAGGTGACTCACCGCTGCTGTTCAGGACTCTGGCTGAGACTCTTCCAGCGGAATCCTGAGCCCTGGGATGGAAAACAGAGGAGAAAGAGCAAGTGAGAGGGAGTCTGTCCTTGAGCAAATGCTGAGAGCCCTACTCTAGGAGGTCCCTCACCTGGACTCTAGCTCTGGGCACAGCATCCACTTCCTGTTGCCTGTCTGTCCTTTCTCAACACTACACCTGCTTAGATGCCAATTGCTACTATTGTATCACTCCTTTGCTTTCTCCCCAGGCTATAATCCCACACCTGGGACTATAGGGTCAACCATCCCCTTGGGTTCCAGATGCAGGGATCTCTAAGCCTCCTGCAGGGGTAGGAGTGGGGGGTATTACTCTTGAATGACCTCCACCCCATGGCCCATGTCTGTAGGAGCTCAGGCCTTCCAGATTCTGAAACTTGGGGCTCTTTCCCAGTGGGATTCAAAGAAGGGCAGGTATCCAAATCCCTGTTTTCACCTATCAAGGTATTCTAGGGGCCCTCTAACAGTTGGGTATCTCCATCTAATTTCTTAGCCAAAGACAGCGTGGCTGGGGGTCAAGGGACTGGCAATCCTAGCCAGACTGTATAAGAACAGGAAACAGAGGTGCCAAGTCTTCTAAAGCACAGGCTATTTAGGGAGCAGCAATATATCCCAGCTCCAGGTGACCAGTTGTGCCCAGCTATGTCTCAGTCTCTTGACATTGTCTTACATTTTATTGCTCTCTGGGACCAAAAAATCTTTTAAGTCAAACTTGACAATAAGTCTCACTAAACTTAAGGACAGAGTTTGGCAGTTCTTTTTGTGGGGCAAAGTGGCAGAGCTGAAGTTTCCTGTACCTTCAGGGACCTTGATTAAACTAGTCTTTTTCCCTTTCTAAATTTTTGATCCTTGGAGAAAGCCCAGTCCCAGAGCAGCCTTATCCCCTCAAGAGCCAAACAGCCCAGGACCTTCAGGTCGGTGCCTTTGTTAACCCTTCCCCCAGGCTGCCTGGAGGCAAGGAGAAGGAGGCCCTCTTTTTCCAGAACCAAAGATTAGTCTCAAGGGAGGGGACAGTTCCCAAATGGACCAAGGAGGACGGACTGAGCAGCACAGAGAGACCCCTTTGTCTTTCAACCCGATTTTCATAAAATGCAAATTCTCAACAAGCTATTCATTGTGTGGGGGGGAGCTGGGGGCCAGGGTTGAAGGAGGAGGGCTGAGTGGGGAAAGGCCACAACCCCCTCTCTTTAACCTGGGTCTGAAGTCACTTCTCAATGCTCAGGTCCCCCGGCCAGCGGAAGAACCCGGAGGAGGGGGAGACTCAGGGTCGGGCGCGGCCCGCATCCTTCCTGCCCCACGGGCGCCTTGAGACCCCTCCCACTGCGTCCGGTTCCGGCTGAAGTTTAGGGACCTCTGACCCTCGCACCCCGCACGTCAGGGGCAAGGCAGCCAGCCCCATACCAGGAATCCTGGTGTCCCCTCGAAGAGTGTGCTCTCCGGAGTCAGCGGTGCCCCACGCACGCCTCAGTGTAAGAACGCACGCGGTGCGGCCGCTGGCTCACCCTTCCCACCCAGAGCTCTGGGACCCTCAAGCAGTCTAGGGCGAGCGGCCGGCCGCATCCCTAGCCTTCCCAGTTCCAACTGGAGAAGCCCGGGAGAGGAAGTCTTGGGGCTAGGGAGTCCTGGGGACTTCCAGACACCTGGGCACCGAGAGGCGGGGCATAGGAGCAGAAAGGCAGATGGAACGAGCAGGAGAAAGTGGGTGCTGGGGAAGAGTCCAGGAAGGAGAGAGGGAGCCAGACGGGGCGGCGACGCGTGGGGAGTGGAGTTGAGAGCCGCCGATTGGGGGGGTGGGGGGGCGGCCTGAAGGCGAGAGCCACAGCCTCCGGAGCAGCGGGGGCCGCCAGCAGGGACGCTCGCTCCTTCTCAGGAAGGGGCTGAGGGGAATCTATGGGGCTCGTGGCCGGGCTGGGAAAGAAGGTGGGAGACCCAGTGGATCCCGAGAATACTGTGAGGTCAGCAGGCACTGATGGGGGATGAAGGGGGTTGAGCAGGTCTCGAGGAAGGGACGCTGGGGGCCACTGGAGCTGAGTGAGGGTAGGGGGACTCACCTTTCGGCGGGGCAGGGTGCCCCCGGACACTGCAAGCGCGCGATACAGCTCTGCAGGGTGGTAGTCCTCCAGCGCAGCATACAGCTCGTCCCCGGGGGACCCAGAGGTGGCGGCTGCAGCAGGGGAGCCCGAAGCCCGGGTCGGGGCGGGAGCGACTTCCGAGTCCGGAGCCCGGGTGGCGGGGTCCGGGGCTGCCGCCACCTCCTCTTTCTGCTGCAGCTTCCTGAGTCGGCGGAGGGTCATGGCTCCGGCGCTGGGCGCCCCTCGGTAGCGGCGTTGGCTCCGCTTCGCGGGGCTGGCAGCGGCTCGGGGATGCCAGCCGGGCTGGCGGTGGGTGTCCTCCCTTTATAGGCTCCAGTAACCCCCGGCCGGGCGCTGCCTCCGGTGGCCTCGCCCCCAGCGCAGCAGGCCCCGCCCCGTGGGTGGTGACTGCCCCGGAGCCCCGCCCACAGAGCTCGACGGCCGCTGGGGCTGGAGAAAGTCACCGCGGGGGCAGGAGGGAGAGGGCATCCCGTGGCGGGGCCGGGAGTCTACACGTAGAGGTGATCTGAGGGGGAGCATTACGCGCGATGTCGATTCATGGGGGAGGGGGCACGGTAACGTGTCACTGTAAAGAAGCTGGGGGTCCAGGGCAAGCTTCCAGGAGACCCAGGGGGTTGCGGGGGACTCTAGGCCAGGGAGAGAGGCAGGGCTTGTGCAAGAAGGGGTGAAGTCCCTGAAGGAGGAGGCAGGAGATGCCACTGAACTGTCTGCGCAAGAGTGAGAGGGCCCTGGCTTTCCCCCTTTACACAGCTGTCCCGGAAGAGCAGAAAGGGGCTACCTCCCTTTCCCACGTCTAAGGGAAAAGGAAGAGGTGGAAACCGTGAAAGCAGTAGGCTTAATTCTGGCCTGTACCCTCTGATGCCTGCTGGATACACCTTTCCTCTGCTCCTGATGTGGGGCTCAGGTCCCCTTTCCCAACAGAGCCTTACTATGGAGTTGACTTGCGGGTTGAGGATGAGCCCAAGCTGAGTGGGTGCTCAGGAGGAGGAAGCGGTCTTCAGCCATTCTCTGACCCTGTCTTACAGACCATCCCCCCCCCATTATGTTTGTTACCATGACTGCCAGCCTGTAGGAGAGGCGGGCGGGGATGGTCCAGCCGAGTCTCTGTCGTCAGTGATGCCTGAATAAGAAGTGAGAGGAGGAAGTGGAAGGCGGCGTCTGGTGTCTAAAGAGCGGCTAGCCATCACAGGACATCAGCACCACAAGCTGGAGCTCTGTGTCTGGACATCAGCCACTAAGCAGAGGCCAGGAATGCACTGTCCTTTATGGTTAACATTTTCTGAGCATTCCCTGTGTGCTGTGCACACTGTTCTGGGTATGCTTTTATATACATGTATCAACTCATTTGGTCTTTAGAACAACCCTGTGAAATAAGTGTCATCGTCATTTCTTACAGATGAGAAAATGGGGTAATTTGCCACTGTCACCCAGTGCAGTCTTCAGTTCCTCAATCCAACATCTGCTCTGTGTCAGGTACTGATAGGGCACTGGGGTCACAGAGGCTCTTGGTCTGGTGGGGAGTGGTACATTGCATGTGTGCTAGACACATGGCATGTGCTGTATTAGGAGCACTGAGGGGCAAGTGGCCACATCCATTTGAGGAGGGCAGAGATGGCTTTCTGTCTCCTGCCTATCTCTGTTCAGAGGTCTGCTTCCTTCCCCTTGCCACCTTCTCTTATCTCCTTTACTGTGTTTCTTCCCCTCTTGCAGCCTTCTGGGCCCTACCTCCTGCAGGAGGTGTGGGTGGGAAAGGGTGCTTCCACCCCTCAGTGATCTTGCAAGTCCAGATGGCAGCAAGCATGCTAGATGGGGGCAGGGGAGGGTGGGGACTCTGGGAGCTCAGAGCTCCCTCCTTCCCTCCCTCAGTGCCTTCCTCTCCCTCCTCCCCCTCTCCCAGCACCTCCAAGTGGCCATCAGCTGAGAGGCCGAGGGGGTGTCAGTGGGGAAACATAGGACTCTATTGTGAAGCATTAGCACAGATGGACCCCTGGACCGTCTGTTGCCTGCTCCTGACAGACGGCATCTGTGGTGGGGGTGGGGGTGGGAGGCGCAAAAGGCAGGAGAGGCAATGGTTTCTATTCTATTGGTTCCGGTGCTTACTTCAGAAAGGATCCATCCAAAGGGCATCTCACATCACCTCTTCTGTGAAGAAACCACCTTGCCTAACCCAGAGGGACACTTCCTTGCCTGAAGCCTGGAGAATTGGAGTCCACAGGTGTGGGGCACGGAACCTGTATCTAACATCCCTGTTGAACCCTTCCTCCTTCAGGCTGACATGGGGGCTGAGCCTTCTCAGATTATGCAGATCTGGTTGCCTCCCTGCCTCCAAGTGAAAGACCACCACCAAAGGACTGAAGTTCTCACCTGGGTTTCCTCTTCCTGCCAAGTGGGGAAGCCCTAGAGAACCCCAGAGTAAGGTAGGGCCCAGGAAATGATATACATGATTTCCTCAAATCCTGGGATTTCAGAGCCATAAAAGGCCTTATGGTAATGAAAAGATGCTGTGTGGTCTACACCCTCATTTAGCAGAGGCAACTGATGAGGGGTGGTGGGGGAAGAACAGCACTAGGACCCACTAGAACCCAGGTCTCCTGAGACTGTTTAATTCAGCTGCTGGAAGCTTCCTAAGAGCTCAGAGATTCCTGTCTGCTGCCTTCTCCCAATCTCTGCAGTTTCTCCAAGGAGAGGATGGGAGCCAAGAATTCCACTTTGTGGAGTGGTGATGCCCTCTGGTGGCCATTAGTCTCTCAGTGGAAACTAACCCAGATGGAAAGGCTGGCTAATACCAGGCTCCACCTGGAATCCCATCCCTGTTTAAGGATTCCCAGGGAGCCTCTCCCTCCTAAGAGGATCTATGTTCAGCTAAGAAGCCAAACTCCACGTTGGTCACTGAATTCTGGAATCTCACACCTGACAGGAAGTTGTTTTTTAGATTGAAGACGGTGCTGCCTCTGCAGGTGAAATTCAGCAGGGAGAAGGTAGACAGCCGGTGCAGTAAGCTTCACATGCCAGGCAGTATATATGAGATGCCTGAAGCTTTGCCTTCTCCAACTCTCCACAACTTCCTCCTAAGCTGGAGTCTCCTGAGCATCTGTTCTTCTCATCCTATCTTCTGCAATCCTTTAAGGCTTGGGGGTGGGGAAGTATTCTGCACCTAGCCTGCCACTTCATACCAGGATACCTCCTCCTCCATACTTCTTCCAGGAAACCTCCCTGCAAAACCCATTGTTCTGGCTCCTCAGACATTTGTCCTCAATCTGTACCTTGTTCCCAAACAAGTCTCTCAGAATGAGCTCCCAGGTTTGCATCCTTTTTCTCCAGCTGCCCTGACTCCTGGCACTCAGGATGGGGTTGGACCTATGCTGAAGGGCAACACCCAGTGATGACCAATCCCTTGCCAGATGTGTAACAGCAGCCTCCCATGGAGGAGAGGAGAAGAGCTGAATTGTGCCCCACTGACCCACTCAAGTTCTAGCATGCCATCAGGAAGTCAGGGCACTTGAGTCTGGAGTGTACCAGCTAAGGTTCCTTTAGAGCCTAACTCAAGCCTCAGAGCTCTAGCATAGTTATTTCAGGGCCCAGAACCAGCAGAATAGTTCACTGGGGTCTCTTCTCTGAGTACTACCACTGCTGCTTAGCTGGGGCAGTGGGAGGAGTAAGGCTTAGCTCTGGGCTGTCAGGAATGAGAGGCTGGGCCCCAGTCACATGACATCACCTCTTGTAGGAGGTATGGACAGCTGGTGGGCAGCTGACCCAGCAGGGAGTGGCATTGTTAATGGCTCCTATTACCAAATAATTTCCAGGGGATAGTGTCTGTGCACAGACTGGGGGAAGGGGAGGTCCAGCAGCAGGGTTGATCCAGCATAACCCAAATACCTGATGCTGGGGAGTCTGAGAGTATGGGCCAGGTAGATGTGTGATTATTTGCATTGAGTATGAGTAGTCTCGGGGTCTAGTCCTGCCCTGAGGCCAGGGAACATCTTGCCTCTTGGATGGAGAGGGCAAAGTGTGTCTGGCTTGAATAGGATGGCAGGTCAGAAGGAAGGTTAACTCCAGTTTTCCTTAGAGCATCTGCATACCACTCTTGAGACACAGGGTATGTGCTATCTTACCCTACCTCATTTCAGAACAGGTTCAGATAACAAAGATAGACAATGACCCCCTTTAGGGTCCCAGACTCCCCAGATCTCTTCCTTCTTGGCAGACATACCTGCTCAGTTGCTTCATCCCTGGTTCCCTCAGGGGACAGTATCATGGACCTACCTCCCCAATCCCTAAATATATGCAAGTCCGCCAGGCTAAATCTTCCCATTTACTCTCAATTGAAGGCAGTCCCCTTCTTCCCCTTGTAGTTTGCAACTGGTTATGCCCCAAATCTGTTTATTCTACTCACTGTCCTTCCCTTTCCTCCCAGCTGTTCTTGCTCTGCCACTATTGCAATTGCCTCTTAAAGCCAATCTTCCCAAAAGATAAATAGGATCACATCACTCCCCTGCTTAAAATCATCTGCTATGGCCTGAATGTTGGTGTCCCCTCAAAATTCATTATGTTGGAACCTAATACTCAACGTTTTTGGTTTTTTTTTTTTTTGAGATGAGTCTCACTTATGTTACCCTCATTAGAGTGCTGTGGTATCACAACTCACAGCAACCTCTAACTCTTGGGCTTAAGCAATTCTCCTGCCTCAGCTTCCCAAGTAGCTGGGACTACAGTATTTGCCACAATACTAGTTTTTGTATTTTTAGTAGAGATGGGGGTCTTGTTCTTGTTCAGGCTGGTCTTGAACTCCTGAGCTCAAGTAATCCACCACCTCAGGCTCCCAGAGTGCTTAGGATTATAGGCATGAGCCACTATACCCAGCCTTTTGTGCAGGTGTTTTAAGATCAGAAGAGTAAATCCCATAACGTGGGTGGATTTTATCCCACCAACTAAAGTCCTTGAGAGAAAAGACTGGGGTGTCCTGAGGAAGAATGCTGTCCTCAGACTCAGGACTACATCATTCTTCTCAAGGTCTCTAGCCTGCTGGTTTGCCTTGCAGATTTAGGACTTGCCAGTCCCCATAACCATGAGTCAGTCAAGTCTTGAAAATGAATCTCTGTATATGCCTATATCTATCTGTATGTGCATTCATTTTATTGGTGCTGTTTCTCTGGAGAACGCTAATAAACACCATTCCTGGCTAGATCCAAAGTGCTCTTTCCCCCTTTTCCACCTTTGTTGGTCATGCCTCCTATGTTTCTCAGTCAGTCTCGTGAACTCTACTATTCCTGATTTTGTTTAGGTTGTTTGGCAAGCATGTTTTCAGGACTACAGAAAGTCAGAAGACATATGGCCTGAAGGACAGAAATTTAACCTGTCAGAGACAAAAACTCAAGGAATGCAGCATTCAAATAAGTCAGTTGTCTTTTGTCACAAGGCTTAAAAAGGTGAAACACTATTGGTAACCTTCAAGGACACAGGAAGAGGTACCAGAACAGTCATCACTCTGATTCCAAAATGGTAAAGTTGAGCCTGCAATCTATAGCCTAATGAATTTTAGGTCCATGCCTGGCAAGATGACTGATTATTCATAGATGGCCTGTAAAGGGCCTTCATTCAGTCTGTGTTGAGATTCACTACCAACCATGTTGCCTGTCCTGCTGTAGAAGCTGCAGCCATGATGATAATTCAGCTAGAGATTTGGGCTTCTTCTGTTACCTTTGTGGATAGATTTATGTCTAGAACACAACAATTAGCAGTTATCAGATTACTGGGACAGATGCTAAACTCAAAGCAAACTTCTAGAGGTACATTGATTTTCTCCAGTCCAACAGTTTCAAACAGTTAAGAATAACAGAAAACTCAGGATAATAATCAGAATTTAAAAATCATGATAGACTATGGCAATGGGCAGGTTCTGTGGTGAAATTTAATAGGGTAAAAAAAATAAGATCCTGCAATTGAGTTCAAAATACCACCTTCATGTGAACAGGATGGAAGAGAAAGTAGTTTGATTTTCACCAAGAGATGAAGTGCAGTCCTGGGATGTGATCTGCAGGTATTGGGCAGTGTGTAGGATTCCCCATTCTGGTCTGTGTGGTCAGTTAATACCCAAACTCTAGCTATGTTCAGGAGAGCAGACAGCCTGGATGAAGAACATGGAACCATGAGGCAGGGCAGTGTGGTGGAAAGGGGGCTGTGGTCTGGCTTGACCCAAGGTCTTTTCATCCATAATCCAGGTGATTTTGAGCAATTTATCTAACTTCTGTAATTCTCCATTTCCTAATCCATAAAAAGAATATAGTAAGAGCCACTTCGTATGGTTGTTTTGAGGATTAAAGCAGTTAATATATGTAATGCAAAGTTTGGCACACTGCTTAGCACACAGTGAGTTCTTGCTATTTGCTAATATTAACTGAAGAAATTCAAAGCTTTGCCAGAAGATTCATAACATGACAGCTGCCTTCAAGTATTTTAAGGGACCTTATAAGGGAAGAGAGCGTAACTGCTCTGCAAACCCTGTAGAAGTCACAGGGAGGTTTCCTATCTCTACAGAAGGAAGACCTCTTGCTGAGCAGCATGGCCTGCTATCCTCCTAAGTGCTAGAGCAGGAAGCCAAAGCCACTTGGCAGGGATGCTGCAGGGCAGAGGAGTGACTGATGGTTAAATAGAGGACCTTTCAGGTCCCGTCTAACCTGTACACAAGGATTCTAGGACTTGCTATTTGAGATCCCTTCAGCTTGGAGATAAAGGACATTCACTTCCATCCATGCACTGAAAACACCAGTCACCATTGAAGACTCCTAATTTTAGGAGGGAGAGAAGCACAACTGAGAAGGTCCATGCCTCCAAAACACAATAGCACAAGGCCCTCTTTTGTGAACAGAGAAAAGCACTGAGGGTGGTGCCTGTGGCTCAAGGAGTAAGGCACAGGCCCCATATGCCGGAGGTGGCAGGTTCAAACCCAGACCCGCCAAAAGCTGAAAAAAAAAAGAAAAGCACTGAAAGACGGACTCCAACAAAGCCCAGGGGAAGGGTGCGTGGTGTATGTCCCGGGTTCCCTGACAACAACAGGCCCTCCCACTGTGAACCACATGGCAAGTCTCAGGAAGCCCCAGGTTGCTCAGATCAGCACCTCCACTGACTGATCTGTGCATGAACACCAGCCCCAGCCAGCAGGAAGGTAGAAGCACTACCTCATACACCAGTCCCCAGCTGTCCTGACAAAAGCTGGGCGGTCATTCTACACACATAAGACAGCACCAGGAAAGCTCTGTGAATAAAACTTTTAATAATGTACAGCAGAAATTGGACAGGCTCATTCTTATATTAAAACAAAAGATTTCCTATATTACAATATATTTACATTTGCATACTGAAGAGGTAAAGTGTCTAAGTGGCTATTTTACAGTCCTTTCTAATAAAATGTACAAAAACAAACAGAAGTACCGAGATTGCCGTTCGGGGGCCTTAGTGGCGACATAAGAACGGGCTTGGACTTGGTCTGTGAACCCAGGATCCAGAGGTGCAGGTAGTCCTATGGATCAGGGTTAGCCTCGGGGGGCCAAAACACGGCTTGAGTTTCTCCCCAGCTCTTGCTTGGTGTTAAGAGTGGCAAAGGTAGGTACAGGAGCCTCCCCCAAACCTGCTCCATCTTCCCAAAGGTGGAGGAGTTGGACTACCTGTATGGTGAGGGCAGAAGGGCCATCTGAGGAGTGGCTGGGTGGATATTTGTTGGCAGACATCAGAGGCTAGTTTAGACTCCAGGTAGAGGAGTCTAAGTTCCACCATCACCTATAACCTGCCAGGGCTCTGCTGCAGGGTGGACAGGTGGGAGGTCAGCAAGGGAAAGAAGGGCCCCCTAATGACACAAGTGGTATTGAAGGGAAATTAGTCAGTGGCCAGTAAATTGGCCCAAAGGGTTAGAGGAAGATCTCCTTTAATGCAAGGAAAGAAGCAATACATCAGGCAAATAAATAGAAGAGGCAGGAGCACTGGGGAGACTGAGGGCAGGAGAGGGCTTTGGCAGGGACCTGCTGGGCTGGAGGCAGAGATGCTCTAAGGCTGCACACAGAATGCCCCTCCCGGGGGCGGGGGGGCAGGAAGGGGCCTCAGAATGAATGCAGTGATTTGGGTCGCACCTGGGGCTCTAACCCCAGGCCTTGTTGTCCACCACCAGTCTCTTTGCAGTGGATGGCAGGGTTCCTCTTTCTTCAGTGGTCTTCTATAAGAACAATAGATTCAGGCTCAAAAGGGTCTCAGAACCAATTATGAAACCTTCTGGTCTCAAAACAGGCACCCACTTACTTGAATCAGCTCCTTCTTCAGTGGTCTGGGAGTAGGACCCAAGCCTATCTTGTTTACAGATGTATTCCCAGCGCCTGGCACAGTGCCTGGTACCCAGCAGGCTCTCAGTACACATCTGTTGAATAAATGCCTGGAGAGGGTGCAACCAGCTGGACAATGTACAAAAGGCTAGGGTCCTGAAGCAAAAGCCGCTCCCAAAATGGGGGTGGAGGCTGAGAGGGCAAGCCTGAGAGACTGAGCCCCCAGGGCAAAGAGGAAACCTCACTACTGAGTGGGGACTGGCTCAGGAGCAAGGACAAACATTTCCAGTGTGACTGAGCTATGTGCGTTCCATTAGAGGATTTTTGGTTTTTTTTTTCTTTTTAGGGATTTCTTTAAAAACAAATAGATTGAGAGGTAATCACACAGAGATGGTTTTCCTTTTACAAAAACTTAACAATATTAAAAAAAAAAAGTTAAAATCCAAACCCTCCCAATAAAATTAAAAAAAGAAATCAAACCACTCCAGTTAAAAGTTATGGCTTCAAAGTTATTATATTCCTAAGATATGCTGACCAAATCACCACCCACAGCCATGCTTCTAGACTTCATTAAGAATGACACTCAGTTAAGTGACATACTCTGCGCAGGCTGCTCCTTTAGTAGGGCCCCTGAAGTAGATGTGAATCTCTTTTCTTCCCTCCACCCAGATCAGGTAATCCAGTAAAAGAGGACCCATGCAGATGCCCCACCCACCCCAGACCCCTCCCTACTCTTCCCTTGCCCTTCCCTTCCCCACCCCAAACCCACCACCACCAAAAATATACAATGTTGTTTCCAGAATCTGGGATGTGAAAGACAGATGTGACATTCCAATCTGAGTCCCAAGATCTAGCTTCACATTCCTGGCCCTTCCTCAATGGTGCTTAGCATGATGTCCGTGGGCTGGATCATTCCTGTGGCTGACACTGACCACAACCAAGACTTCCAACACTTTTGCCAAGATTCCTTCCCTGCCCACCCTTGCCCCTCCCTCACATTTTGACCCAAAAGCCTCTTCTGCCATGGACAACTGGGCCAGCTTTGGTTCCACAGTCTGAAATGGAGGAGGAGAGCTGTGTTGACACTGGGTGAGCAGAGCAGCCTGCTGGACACCGAGTACCACTGAGGATAAGGGGCTGGGGGGGAGGGAAGACCTCCGGGGAAGGGCACCAGGGAAACTAGATGCTCTCACTGTTCAGCAGAGGCACCAGCACGCACAGACAGCATGACAACCACACCCCCGACCTGCACATGCAGGGAAAGCTCAAGCAGGTGAGTGCGCACCTACAGACACACACATACACACACATGAAAGGGCGTGGCACGAACCAGGCACAATGGGGACGCACCTCGGCCATGCACACACGCTGACAGACAGGCGGCAGATTAAGTCTCCACTGGCAGTCCCTCCGGTGTCAGTACAAGGGAGGAGGGAGCACATGGCTCAGAGCTGCCTGTGAAAGGGGCTGTACTTCCAGTTCCTCCGGGTCACCTTGGTGTGCTGTGGGCTGGTCCCTGGAGGAAACCCTCAGCACATCTCAGCATTAGCAACAGCTCAGCTCCTCCTGGCCCCGCCCAGGCCACCCCTTCAGCACTCCTGGCTATATGCCAGATGCACAGGCTTTGCAGGACTTCTCACTACAACCAGGTTGAGCTGTGGCATTGAGTTCTCCACACAATTCGCTCCCAGAGTCTCCATGCCTTTAGGAGGTAAATAGAAAAGGTGTCTGTGTCTCAAACCCAACATGGGAGTGAGCGAGTCTCCCGGGCTCTATCCCTCTTTCAGGCCAGGGCTTCTGGCCAGAGGGCTGGGCAGAAACGAGAGGTAGGCCTCCATCATACGCTCAACATGGCAGCTGTATGTAGTTCTCGCTGCCCAGAGGTGCACGTAGGGGAGAGGGAGCAGGGTTAGATCTTCACATCTTCCTGCACACTGAGCTGTGAGAGGGTCTTCTTGATGCGCAGAGCAGTCAGGCGGGCTGCACCATTGGCATACCAACACTCCCGCATCATCTTCCCCATCACCCGTAACGCCTGCACAGAGAGACCCAGAGGCCATCAACAATGCCTTGGAGAAGCCTGTCTGGTGCCTAGGCTCTTGCTCACTTCCCTGCTGCCTCCCCTCAGCACAGAGTCTAGGGGAACCTCCCCTCCCACCAATAGACTGAACAAGGGAAAATGCTTCCTAAGCCTCCTTTCCCCTCGGCTCTTTCTACCTTAAGGGACAGGTTGTACAGGTACAAGGGAAAGGTGCAGCTGAAGACCAGCTCTTTTAGCCTCACCCTTATCCTCTGAAGTAAACCCTGCCCTGAGGGTTCTGAAGAACACTTTGAAGGCGTCAGATAAAATGTGAATTAAGCAATTTTGTTCTTAAATGTAAAATGCCCTCTAGTGGTTATACTCTTTAAAAGCAGAGCCAACCTTTCTCCATTTCATTACCAAGTGAGAAAGTCCTGGGGCTCTGACGGACAGCAGTCGGACAGCAGGCGCAGGCGATGAGAGTCAGCACCCCTGTGCTGCACCTGCAGTCTGCAGAGAGCAGCTCTTCCTGCTCTCACCATACACACAAAGGCAACTGACTAAGGTGAAAGATGCATTAGCAAACTGGAGTGTGGTAATCATTTTGCTGTGTATGTATATCAAAGCAGTATGTTGTACAACGTAATTATAATTTATTAATTATACCTCAATAAAATTAGGAAAAAAGTAAAAGAAACCAGCAAAGCAGAGACATGAAAAGGAGGCCAGTGTGCACTTAACCAGGCAGACACTGCCCCTGAAGATGTGAAGACTCCAAAATTCTATGATTAGCAGTAATGTTGTAAATTTGTCTTCCTTTCAATTATTTCCATAAAATTTCATCCACTCCCTCCCATTTCATCCCCTATCTCTTCTAAATTCAAATTATCTATCCTAATCCCACCCCCATCTCACCTGCCACCCTCCTGCCTCCTGTGGTTTTTTTTTTTTTTTTTTGAGACAGAGCCTCAAGCTGTCGCCTTGGGTAGAATGCTGTGGCATCACAGCTCACAGCAACCTCCAACTCCTGGGCTTAAGCGATTCTCTTGCCACAGCCTCCCAAGTAGCTGGGACCACAGGTGCCTGCCACAACGCCTGGCTATTTTTTGGTTGCATCCATCATTGTTGTTTGGTGGGCCCGGGCTGGATTCAAACCCACCACCTTAGGTGTATGTGGCTAGTGCCTTAACTACTTGACCCACAGGTGCTGAGCCTCCTTCTGTGTTTTTTTTGGAAAGGCCACTCCCCTCACAGGTACATGCTCTCGCTGAGTGTGCCTCTCATTCTCCTCTACTCTGTCTACGAGCTGCTTCTATAGGTGCCTCTTCCTAACTCTCCTTATTGAGCTCAGCGCATCTCCAGGGCCCCAGAGCCATTTTTCTAGTTTGCCATGTTGAATACCTCCAAATAAAGTTTTCTTTGTCTCTGTTGACCACCTCCTTTATCTGTGTCCTGTGTCAATTCCAAAGAGTACCCTCTAGTATCCAGGACAAAGAACTGTAGCCCCAAAGGGCTCAGTATATAACAGTATACATGTAAACAGTATATAATAACTGATGCTCCCAGGGAATACACCTTGGAGGCTGACCCCATTATCAAAAAAGTTTTTTCTAAGCTAGAGAAATCAGGCAGATGGAAAAGCCACAGGAGGCAAGGAAACTTCCTACCTCATAACTCTGCCACCAGTTGGGGATGTTGGGACGTAGCTTCTGGTCACATACGACCTTTCGCATTTCTTCAATGGAAGGGTCAGAGGGCACTAAATCATAATATGGCAGCTGATACTCTTCATGGACTCCTGAGAGAAAAGAAAATATCTACCTAAGTTATCAAAAGAATGAAGATTATTTAAAACCCAATGACAACATCTACATTGTGATTTGTAAACACCAAGATAAACTAGGGCTCCTTGAAGAAGTTGGTTGATTCTAGGTATGGGATAAGAAATAAACAAGAGTAGCCAGGAACACTTTGATCATACCAAAAAAACAAAGAAAACTGTCAGAAAACTCGGTTTATATCAAAAGGCACCAACTTGGCCACATGTGGTGACTGGTATCTGTAATCCCAGCATTTTGGTTGGACAAGGCAAGAGAACTGCTTGATCAAGGCTAGGAGTTTGAGCCTCCTAGGCAACTTAGCAAGAGCCTATTTCTATAAAAAATTTTTTAAATGGTTAGCTAGGTATGGGGGTGCATGCCTATAGTCTTAACTACACTTAGGAGGCAGATGCAAAAGATAACTTGAGCCCAGAAGTTCAAGGCTGTAGTGATCTATGATTATGCTGCTGGGTCACTCCAGCCTGGGTGACAGGAGACCCTCTCTCCCTTTAAGAAAAAGAAAGAAAGCCAACAAAATTTGAAAACCTAACTGGTCAAAGATGAAAGCATCTAAGTAACAATAAGACCAATAACTTCAGTAGAAACATGTTTTTTTTTTTTTAGAGAGTGAGTCTCACTTTGTCACGTAGAGTGTTGTGGCGTCACAGCTCACAGCAACCTCCAGCTCTTGGGCTTAGGTGATTCTCTTGCCTTAGCCTCTCAAGTAGCTGGGACTACAGGCGCCCGCCACAACACCCGGCTATTTTTTTGTTGCAGTTTGGCCAGGGCCAGGTTTGAACCTGCCACCCTCAGTATACTGAGCCAGAGCCCTACTCACTGAGTCACAGGTGCTGCCCAGAAATGAGTATTTTTAAATCTACTATTTCATTATATAGTAGAACTTCTGTAAGTTGACCAACTAAGAGACTGCAACAAACTGGTCAATATACAAAGGTGGTCAACATAAGGAACAAGGGCTGCCAGGCCTGATGGCTCATGCCTGTAATTCTAGCAGTCTGAGAGGCCAAGGCCAGGGTGGATTGCTTAAGATCAAGAATTCAAGACCAGTCTGAGCAAGAGTTAGACCTCATCTCTACTAAAAATACAAAAACTAGCTAGTCATTATGATGGGCGTCTGTAGTCCCAGCTATTAGGGAGGCTAAGGCAAGAGGATCTCTCAAGCCCAGGAGTTTGAGGTTATTGTAAGCTATGAAGCCATGGCACTCCACCCCAGGGCAACAACAAAAAAAGGAACTAGGCCTACTGTACTGATATATACATCCAGTACATGTCTGGTAAATAAAAATTAGGTCATCTGGTGGCGCCCGTAGCACAGTGGTTATGGCACCAGCCACATACACTCAGCCTGGGCCAGCTAAACAATGACAACTACAACAAAAAATAGGTGAGCGTTGTGGCAGGCGCCTGTAGTCCCAGCTACTTGGGAGGCTGAGGCAAGAGAATTGCTTAAGTCCAAGAGTTTGAAGTTGCTGTGATGCCATGGTACTCTACCGAGGGTGACATAGTGAGACTCTGCCTCCAAAAAAAAAAAATTAGGTCAACTTAAGGAGTTGGGCAATGTAGGGAGGTGGTCAGCTATGAAGGTTCCACTGTAATTCAAAAAAAAAGAAACTTCATTAACCTTTTCAGGGTGCTATTTTGGAAAGACTTCATTTTGAAAAATGGTAAATAAAAAGAATCAAGTAGTTTTCTTGCCTTCCTACACAAACTTTGGAAACCAAATAGATAATTAGGGGAAGTTTCGCTTTAAAAAAATCTAGTTAATCTATGAAACTAGTAAAATCAGGGTGGCAAATAAATGTTAATATTATATACTTAGCCCCAAATTCTGGATGTCATGAGAAAGAAAAAAGGAATTTATTCACCTATGTGACTAGGTTTTTCTTTTCTTTTTTTTTGAGACAGAGTCTCACTTTGTCCCTGGCAGTATCATGCAGTGGCATCACAACTCACAGCAACCTCAAACTCCTGTGCTCAAGTGATTCTCTTGCCTCAGCCTCCCAAGAGGCTGGGACTATAGGTGCCCTCCACAACGCCTGACTACTTTTAAAGATGGGGGTCTTGTTCTTAAACCATGTGCTCAGGCAATCTGCCTGCCTCGGCCTCGCAGAGTGTTGGGGGGTTTTCTTTTTTTTTTTTTTTTTTTTTTTGAGGTGGCACCCGGATTTGAACTGGGAGATTTTTATCATCTGGTTTATCTGCATATACTGATCAAAACTGAAGCAGTCCAATTCCATAAGTTATACTTGGGCACCTTTCCCATAATTTGGATCTTACCAAACATCATAGATAGAATGAGGGTAGTAATATATAAAAGAGTTTCACTGGAAGACTCACTAGTTCTTTTTATTTATTTATTTATTATTATTTCTTTTTTTGAGACAGAGTCTCAAGCTATTGTCCAGTGCCATGGCGTCCCAGCTCACAGCAACCTCAAACTCTTGGGCTTACATGATTCTCTTGCCTCAGCCTCCCAAGTAGCTGGGACTACAGGCTCCTGCCAAAATGCCTGGCTATTTTTTTTGTTGCAATTGTCATTGTTGTTTTTTTTAGCTGGCCCAGGTCAGGTTCGAAGCTGCCAGCCTCTGTGTATGTGACCAGTGCCCTACCCACTGAGCTATGGGTGCTGGCTCACTAGTTCTTTTTAATTCAATCACTTCC